ATATATATATATATATATATATATATATATATATATATATGGATATCTAGTGTGAAATAAGTCACTTAATGGCCGTGGTAGAGAGTGCAGCATAATTACTGATCTGTGAATTGTACCAAGAATATATTCATGTTTGTACCCGTAGTCTCTTCCAGTGGGATTATCATAGGGTTCATCGTCACGCCTATTAATATTCACGTGTTTCGTAACTTAATTTAAGCATGACCGCTTCTCTTCAGGGATTAATTGGTTTACCCTATCAATTATGTGCCTTGTAAACACAATCAGATCATCAATTTGAGTGACCACATTTTCCTGACATTATTGTGTAACGGTTGCGTGACGTAAAGTATCGCCTGTTTTAAGCTCATCTAGTTGACAGTAGGCACGTGTGAAGGATTGTGTGGTCTATTTATGTCCTTGCTGGGATCCCCTTAGAGACACGTGAATTGTGTACGTCTACACTTTATACGCGATTTTACACCTGAACTGGAGAAAATGAACAGAGATAAATAGTAATTATTGTGACAATGCATTCTAGACTTCCAGTTGCACAACTTTCTAGTGTGTTTTCTTGTATTATAAAGACTGGTGTGTGAAAAAAAACTCGTCTCTTTATGCCCGCTTTAGTAGAACCCCTCCACGAGGTGCATACTTCTTTATTTGCCTGAAATTAAATTTTACACTATATAGCTTGACCGGCGTCCATGTTCCCCTCACCCCTCCTCGCCCCCCTCCTCCTCGCCCCCTCCCTCCAAACAGCATGATCACAAGATTAAGAGTGCACCCCTAAGCTGCTTGCAAAATTAGAGATGCATCAATCCTATGGGCGATTCATCGATAAATTTGTCTTTTTTTCCTTTTTTTTTTTTTTTTTTTTTTGGAGGGGGGGCATGTCATATGACGTTTATTCACGTGTTCAAATACTCACCTGTGACGTCACACCCAACGCTCTAGAGTCTGTGCGTGGTTACACATCCAGCAAACGTCGAAGTTTGAGTATTGAACTTTAATTACTAAAGTCTACCGAAGGGTTTGATGTGGTGCAGGTGTAATGCAGCATTTGACGCGTTCAAAGTCGACATTGATCCGGCCATAATTAATCATAATACCGCCTAATCACGCCTGAAGCAGTTATCAAAGAGAAATCGAACTCTTACGGCTCGGTACATTTCTCATATTATACAAGGATGTTGCAACCAAACTTTTAATCAAAATAACTTCTTGCGTATCAGTTCATACTTGTGTCTTTAATGACGACTTAATATTTGTCCCTGCAACAGTAAAGTTTGTGTCTTCAAGAGGTAGGAATTGGCGCTTGATAATTTTGACTGAGGGTCGTGCCCCCATGTCTTCTGTTTGAAGGTTATGTAATGTGTGTTTTGTGACTTTCTTTTGTTTTTCTTTTGAATTTTTGTTGTTCCTTTGGTAATATTTTGCAGATGTCTTAAATTCCAGAAATTCCAGATTAAATTGCAGATATGATAAAGTTTGTTAAATTTCAATATGCAAATCAATCAATGAATTGTTTGAAAAACGTAATATCAAGAGAGTAATGGGTGGATACTACTCGAGTCAGTTTCACATACAGGTATAACAGCTAATCTTTTGTGTTAAGGTGATCATTTAAACATTGAAAACAGACGGATCACATTTGTATTTTTAGTATGAACTTGAGTGAACTCTAGCAATCCTTTTTCTATTATACAGTGTCAGTGAAATGGTGGACAACAATCGCCGCCACTAAGGATGTTAGTCTCTTCTGAGATCTTAGACGCCGCTGGGAAGGTATATTAAACCAGGAATCACGGCAAATAGACGGCAACGATCAAAATTTGGATTAGCAAACATTCTGCGCAGAAAGAAAAGTCTAGAAACTGTAAAAGACTTCACGACTGCATCAGATTAATACTCTTGCGTGAACTATGTCCGAATTCATCGAAACTCTTACGAAACGCTTCGAGAAATCGAACGTCATTTTTGAGACGAAGGCTTCTGACTGTGACAATAACAACCAGGCTGAGCAACCCGAAGAAAAATGTCACTCTCGGACTTCAACTGCGATGGACATAAAAACCACAAATCTGTGCCTGCCAATAGAAAACTCTAGAAAATTTGCTCAAAGAAGTGAACCGACGAGTCCCGTATTAGTCCCGCCAAATTCAGCCGTGTCTGGCTCTCTTAATACCAGACAGGCGATCCGTCTCACCACCTCAAACAGTTACCCGTGGCTAGAGCTTAGGTCACCCCGAACGCCCGAACCAACAGTGTGCAACACACCTTCAAGGCCTCTCTCTCGGGGGACAAATTCTGTGGAGAGGCTTATGCGTCCGACCACGTCAAGCCGCGCACGCTCCAGTGTCGCTATAAAGCGCGTGAAGAACCAATCAACACAGACAGGACCGTCTCCTTACAGCGACGTGGACCCGTATCTCGCTGTATAGCCACGTCATGGTGATTATATTGTTTGATTAAAATTACTATCATTGTGCTTTTTATAGATTGCTCACATTTTCCCATTTGTTAACCGACTCAAATACATTTTAATGTTAGGGAATTTCCTGGGATATAGAAGTCTATATCGATTCAGGGGATGAAAAATGTATGTCAATTATAGACGAAAAATCGAAATGGGCTGTCATGTTTATTACTGTTAAGTTGTCAACTTTATGAGCCATAACTGATATTGAAAAATACTGAACACTGACTTCAAGTTTGCTTAAATTTTATTTTTGTATAAAGATCGGTGTATCTACATAAAATGATTTTAACAAGATTCTTTATGTAAAAAGTAGTCGTTATAAATTATATAAAAATATGTTAGTAAAGCTTTTGTAGGCTCTTGAAAAAGCAGCACAACAGTTTCACTCTAACCACAGTTACGTATTAATTTCATGAACACATTTAGCTTTAGAAGCTAGAATTTGGCCTCTTTTTACACAGTTATCAAACAGTTTTTAAAAACATAAAGAATCTTAAATATTTCCAAAAACACTTAAAGCATTAAGTAAAACTCTTCTTACATGTAGAACACGTTGCAGTGAATTGGCACCATAGAATCTACCTATATTTGTAAATAAGAATTTTGTGAATAAAGTTTTTTCAATATACTGTGCCTTCATTGCGTATAAATACATATAGTGTCGTGACCAGATATACTTTGGTTTAAATGATTTAACTTGGAATTGCGTTTTTCCCAGTGACCAAGTAAAATATCCGTTAGTGCGAGTTGTAAATGGGCATTAAACATATACCTATTTGTTTGGACACCTTATGCAAAATACATTTTGAACAAATTAAATGCAAATAACAAAAATTTAGAGTATTTGAGATCGTTAGTGTGTCCTGTAATAGATATAAAAATAAATAAAATAATATTTTCTCTTTATATACCAAATGCTTTGGTCGTCCTTCACAAATAATTTTCGAACAAGTTAACCCTTACATATTTCAAATCCTTCTGTAATTAAAGTGTGAGTAAGGCACACATAAGTTCACGAACATACACGTTTACCTGTCGACCGCGCACTTGTTCAGGTAGAAAAATGTAAACATAAAATTATACCTCCTTTAACCTTATCTCTCATCGTTTAATAAAGGAAAATAAGCTTTTTTGCGAACTGCTTCATTCTTTCTGTCATGAATTCTTACTTCATTGCCTTCTTCTACTGTGACTTTCTTAAAAAAAACACACGGAAATGATGATGATCTTTTTTATCCATGGTAGAAGTCTTTTCGAAAAGTCATGAGTTATGCTAGTAGACTATGGCAGGAATGTTCCTGTCAGTATTTCTTATAATTGCAGGCCCTTAGCCAGGGGGAGTCCGTGGGTTCAAAAGAACCCCCCTTTTTGCTGGGGGAAAAGGTCTCCTCGGGGTAAAATTTCATCTAGGTACACAAACGTTTCATAGTAAAGGTCCACTTTTTCAGAAAAAGAACCGCCCTTTTGAAATTGCTGGCTACGGGCCTGAATTGCCAAAGAAACCAGTGAGTTAAGCAAAGGTGTAGGACCGTACGACGGCCTCTAAATCCTTCTTTGAGGGCCCTGTTCTGCTCTTCTTCTCGGAGTCCGGGCGGCGTTCCAGGGTGTCCGTCGTCATCTCCCACCACGTTTTCCCACATCGAAATTTTTCTCCTGGGAAAGAAAAAAAAATGGTCCATTTATTTAAACAGCTTCTAGCGTTTTATTACACCCGTTTATTTAGGTTTAAATTTCGACAGAAATTCTTCTGAAATTCTTCGAAAATTCTTATTCTAGAGAAACTTCTTCTCCTTTGTAAAATTTACATGAAAACATCCCTTTTATAACCAATGTCCAACATCGAATCTTTTCTTTCAAAAAAAAAAAAAAAAAAAAAAAAAAAAAAAAAAAAAAAACAGTAACAACGTCAAGGACTTGTATGTAAATGTATACATGCACAAAGGGTAACGCGAACCCCACCAACATTTACTGCACAAACAAGATCAGCACGCACGTTGGTTTTGGAATTCGAATTATCATCGATTGTACGTGACCTGTATGAAATTCTATTCATCCAGAGATGAAAGTTACCCGAACAATGAATCAGTATAAGAACATATCCGACATGTGATCATATTCGACTTAATAGATAGATAGGGACCATTTCCCAGACCTTATCATACTTACTGTGGATCGATCTATCTCCGATGGGGATACACGCTAAATTGCAATCGCTTTAAGCGGCTTAGAGGTCTGTCATGCCTACTGAAGCTGCTAGGGGGTAATTAATTATCGTTTAGCAGCTTCAGTAGGCGTGCCAGACATCTAAGCCACTTAAGCTGAAAGCAATTTAGCGAGAAACCCCTCGGAGGTGGATCGATCCTATTAGATCGACCTAGGTATGGGAACCCAGTCATAAATACATATGAATTTGTTAACAAATAAACATGGATAACTAACCACTGTAATTATCGCAAATGAAGTCATTACCTGGCACGTGTCCCGCGTAGCGAGGTATCATCCCTGTTCTCGTGGGGTAGATGACGGCCGGAGTAGTACGTGGACTTTGCGGCCACGAGCCCGCCACCTCGCGGTCTGGCTTCACGGGCGCTCGTCGCACGCTGTTCCAGTGCGTCATGTAGTCCGTGAAGTCGTTGAGAGCCTGGTGACTGAGGAAGGAGAAACATTTGCCCACCTTGTTTTGTGAGTGCGGGACATGGCCCATGTAACCTGAAATGTAAGTAGGTGGAGTAGTGAAAGGTAGAGATTGATCGGTTTTCTCAAATATAAAACTGCTCGTTTGTTTCAAATTACTAACACGCTCATCACAAGAGTGGTGGTCAAAACGGTGAGAGAATTGGCATCAGTTAACTTCTTCACAAACGTAATAAAAAGATTACTCGTTCCAAAATATAAAGTTATACAAATAAAGAGCACACGGGATTATTAAAAAAATTCGGACTGTCTGGGTGTTTGACTTACCGGACATAAAATATTTCCTCGGACTCGAGTTGTCCATCTGGTAGGGGGACTTGTTGTATTGTTCGGCGGCCTCCATAGACCTAGGGGAGACGTAGGGGTCAGCTTCTGCCTGTACCGGCTCTAGAGGAAGTCTAAGGTTAAGACGAACGTCCTGGATGTAGAATAGGAATCATAGATAAATATTGTAATTAGTTATGTATTATTTCATTGATTAGGGTGATAAAATAATAATAATAATAATAATAATAATAATAATAATAATAATAATAATAATTTACTGCGCTGTCGTTTTACAATAAATGTAACTAAACATTGTAAAACGACGATTTTTAAAGGACTATTCACGTACTTCGTACCCCATTCATCAATAACTAGAACTATGCATTTTAATAGGTACAATTACGTGGTTAGATGCTATGGGGTCTGGTAGAGCATCCACTTACCGGCAATTTTAGGCCATTGTTTGATGGAACCTCATTTGACAATGTATGGTCGGATTCACCACGGGGTAAATACTGCATTTTGGCACCGTCGATGGCAAGAAGATACGATCCTCTTTTTTTACTCTTCTCCCTTCTTTGTTCTCGCTCGAAATCGGAGATGGCATCGTTGGCCGTTTCTGGGAAGCTCTTCCCCCAATTGTAAAGGTGATGTCTTGGAATATGACCTGTTGAACAAGAAAATAAGGATGTCTGGTGTGCATTCTTTATCTTTTGAAATGTCTGTAAAGGTATAGATTACAACATGACATGTACGAAGACACAATACTTCACAAGTATCCTGGAAGGATAACAAATACTGTCAACAATTGCAAAGAATGTAAAAATTGTATGATGCTTATTTTTCATTGTACATATTGAATCCATGGATGTGATCCGATTTGAACAGTGCTGTATCGTATGGTCACATTGTGCATTACTGAATAGGGTTGCGAGTAGTGCACGTGCTGTCTTTCCCCCTCTCTCTCTCTCTCTTCTCTCTCTCTCTCTCTCTCTCTCTCTCTCTGTTTTTCTTTCATTGTCTTTTGCATGAATGTTACAAAGGAAGAATTCATTTTTTAAAATTCAGCGAGATAGAGAGAGAGACAGATAGAGAGAGAGAAAGGGAGAGAGAACTAGGATCGATATTTTACGATTCGCAGTGAAAGCGCCGTCACCTTTAACTTCTCAAATCGATTAATCCACAGGGACATTAACTCTTTCGGTAAACGCTTTATCAGGCGTTCAATCAATCAAAGAAAACACACAGGGTAATAACCACAGACGACAAGCATTACTTGCCAATTAGTTTATACGTACCTGAATAACCCGCGATCATTCCTTCGTTGAATTTCTCCGAGCGTCCTAGTCTTTCGGATCTAGCATGCAGCAGAGCTTTTTTCTCTTTTTCCTTCTCTCCATCATCGGACTTGTGGATGCTCCTCAGAAGAGAGTGGTCGGAGTGGGGAACGCCAGGGTCCTTCAGCAGACGCGCCGTCACTTTCCCGATGGACTCGCCCACACCGTGGAACTTGTACATAGGAATGTGGCCGGCATAGCTATTGGAAAATTTGAAAAAATAAAATGGGAGGTTATTTCAACTTTTCTCCAAGTGTCATTATCTGTGTTGTTAGTTTTGTATTGCACGTCTTGGTCGAATGATAACGGTGTCCTAAACAACAGGATAAAGCCTGAAAACAACGAGAAATTACATTAAGCTCATTTAAAGCTCTTCTTTCTTTATTAATTATTATATGTATCCGTTGTTCAACTCTCTCTCTTTCTCTCTCTCTCTCTCTCATTGTGTGTGTGTTTGTGTGTAAAACAAACCGCCGAACTTACTACTGCCTCCTTTCGCTACATCGGCACAGTTTATCAATAACGAAAACTATCCGCGAAATTAATTTTCAAATAAACCGCAACTTAACCGGTCTCTTAAACTTGCAGCGTTAAGCCTGGCAACAAAGCCGTGAATCTGACAAAAGTTAAAAATTTTTTCAGCCTAAGATCCGTGCTGAAGCGCCTTTTAATCCTCTCTACCCTAGGAGTCAAAACTATGTACACATCAACACGACCGCTTTCTCTGACCTTCTAGATAATCTTCACCACAACTCTAAATCCATAAGTGTGTTTCCCGACTTTGCTACTTATCCAGACAGATATTCCAAAGACTTTAAATTTAATTAGCACTTTCTTTAGGCAACATTTATCAAATTAAAAAGCAAGCGCTTTAGTGTAGTGTGGTGTTGGTTAAATATGAAGATATAAATTAGCGCTGATGTACAAACTCTTTTAACGTCGTCTGGTCGCTTATTTTGGGGACTGTTTTACACACCAGCACTTATATCATTATGTTAAATAATCTTTAGGTCCAATAATAATGATAATAATAATAATAATAATAATAATAATAATAATAATAATAATAATAATATTGTATGTTGAGCCCATTTACCTATTTAAAAAAAACGAATGAAAACGTGAAATATAATTTTTCATAAATATACGCTGAATACTTTAAATGATATAAAAATATCTAACATTCTCAGTATTTAAACAATCCTTAAAATATAATAAAATATTCCTGAGTAACACAAGTATTAAAAGTGTGTGCAAATACTGTATAGACCAAATAATAACCAAATATTTCCATGGATGAAATCACCCATAGACGCAGTTCAGAAATCTAGTTAAATCTTCTGGTAAAAATAAAAATATCTGAATTTGCAAATTGCTTCCTTCTTTATATTTCCATTTTTCTTGAGGAAAATTAGTATGCAAATAGTTTAGAAATACAAACCCTTTTAAATGATAATAATCGGACTGGTTCATGAAGGTCGGCTTGCTCCTAGTCAGCATATTTCTTCTTCAAGCGAAATGTCAGTGATCTCAGATAATTATCGTTTCAAATATTTTGATTCGCACAACCACTGCCAAGAACTGTTGTTCCTTGTGATAATGTTTTCATTTCAACACAAACTACTTGTATCGCAATGAGAAAAGTTTTGTTTGCTCTTGGACACAAGACTGTTGCCATGACGACTCCTCATTAACAAACTGAAGCTTTCTCCGTTCTATTCAGTACTAAGTGGTCACAAGTACCCACTTCGGGTTATTTTGAGGGGCCAAAACTAAAGCAACGTAACACGGGCCTAATAGAACACGTAGCTCACGCGAAACCTGAGTACAATGGCGGAGATAAAAAAACTACTTGGGCCCCTCAGAATGTATATCTTTTGATTGAAACTTAGTATTAAGTCGTTGCTATTAGCGTTTAATCCGCAAAAGACGCTCAAATCAAAAACAGCCTTAATACTTAATCAGCGCTTTTTATCAAAATTCAAGTAATTTAAAAAAAAAGTCAAATTAATTAATCAAGATATTTCTCGGTACCACCTGTGTAGTTCTTCGACATGTTTGAATGCATTAAAACAATACCATGAGTGATTTGATTGATTATATCTATATCACCATAATTGGTATATAATATCAGGCTTCAGCAAATAATGATAGAGGTTTTAGATTGTACAATTAATTCAACATTTGTGTATATACCAACCAGGGCTCCGTATCTCGAAAGGTTAGCTACGTTGCGCACGTGCGCAAACGTCTCGATTCCATGGCCCCGTATCTCTAAATAGAATCGGTTATGAAATCGAGACACTTGCGCACGTGCGCAACATAGCGAACCTTTCGAGATACGGAGCCCAGTACTGATAGCATTACGAAGTATCCATCCCGTTATTATCTAATTGTTATCTAATTGTTTGCTCTGTTTGATAACAATTGTATTTTCTCAGCAATGCTCTGTAAACGAGTTACAACTAATTGCGCTAAGTGGGAGACAAGTTGATGAAAGTTTTCTGGGTGTGCGTCAATTGGCTACAGGTGGCGACACAAGACGAAGTATAAGCAAGAAAAGGCGACTCCAAATTTAACTTGAAATCGGAGTTGGAAGGAATACCAGAGGAAGAGAAGGTCTACCAGTGTGTGTGTGTGTGTGTGTGTGTGTGTGTGTGTGTGTGTGTTTGATCAGAAAAGACTATTAATGTTTAGCGTACCGTTTCACTGTCATGGAAACCGCGCTTACTAAACAACGTGCGCACATGAACACAAATCACAAACAGTTCGTGCCTTGTTTCCTTTTTTTTTTTTTTTTTTTTTGCTAAAGAGGGAGAAAAAAATCAGGAACAGAGATTGAGATCAAAGTATGTTCAAAAGGTATGCTCAAAACAGTTCATAAGGTTAGATTGCCAATTGGTATTTAGAAATCAAAGGCAAGTCGGTAAAACCCATTTGAATGTGCTAGAGATTACTTCAACATAGATCAAACCATGGATATTTGTAATCCCTTGATCAAACGAGGAAGATTACCGACCGTTGCACAGTTTATCACGTTTCTTGAGTTTATTCCATTAGCTCAAACCCACGGAGTCGAAATGGCATCATAAGCGTCAATTATTTTTCTCCATAGATAGAATCCTGGTTTAATTTTGTCGGCGTAAATATGTAGCGAGCCGGATACAAGAATATCTGAACCCAAAGCATGCTTTAACCGAGTCAAAGGGGAAGGCAGATGCTGTTCCCTGCCAGAAATCTTCTAATTTTAGCTGTTATTGATTATTTATATCGTTTCATACAATTTTGTACAATTTTAAGACATTTGGGAGAAAGGGGAGCTCTGTGTCCTCCAAGCTTATCTAAAATGTTTTTTATTCTTGCCCCCCCCCTCCCTTACCCCTCTAAATCCATTAGGTAGTCGCATATGTGTATATCACGTTAACACAATTTAGACAAATCAATATAACATTATCTTCGTTCTGTGATATTCTTGACAAATATCAATATATGATCGCCTTTACATTGCTGCCTGCATACTGTGTACTATATGTGTTGCCATGATAACCTGTGGGCCAGAGATTCTCTTAGACCGCATTCACAACGAGTTGAGCCATGGCTCTACAAAGTCACGAACTAAATATGGCGGACATACATGAAAGGAAAACCGCCTAATCTTTTAATAGTCTCTCCGCCTCTCACACGCCTCCCCATGTGTCGTCCCAAAGGAGCCGAGATTTAATGACTGTATCCCCGCAGGGACGACGCATGGGGAGGCGTGTGAGAGGCGGAGAGGCTATTAAAAGATAAGGCGGTTTTCCTTTCATGTATGTCCGCCATATTTAGTTCGTGACTTTGTAGAGCCATGGCTCAACTCGTTGTGAATGCGGTCTAAGATTCTACAAGGGCTCGTTCCCAATGAAATTATCGTTCTACCAAGATCGACCCAACTCTGCGGGAAATCTCGCTGAACGCAATCATATTAACAGATTAACACGCCTCCTCCTGGCATTGAGTAGAATACAGAAAAGCTGGTGATTATATGAGTGCGTTGAGAACAAGTTCTACGTAGAAAGATGGTTACATTAGCTCTGCCAAGGAGGTTCTGTTTTCACTCCTGTTTGTTTGTCTGTCTGTCTTTTTGTCATCAACATAACTCAAATAATGTTATGGACCGATTGTGATGAAATTTTCACGAACTGTCAGAAGTGGGCCAAGGAACAGATGATTAGTTTTTGGTGGTGACCCGGATCAGTAATCAATCAATAATCAATCAATAATCAAAAATCAAAAAAACTAAATTATTATAGAATGAAAATTTAGGGGTGAAACGGCATTGGATGGAGACTTTGCTGCCTTGGCGGAGGTCTGTGCTCTCGGAGTGCTTTTCTAGTTGGGAATGCGCCCTTAGGCTTGTACTAGCTTCACGCTATATTGTCCGTCTTTATAATGAAAACGCCTGAAAAACAATAGCTTGCTTCGAACAATCTGCCGCAGAGGGACGATCACCTACCACAAATGGAAGTATGTGTTTTTTACGTCCAATTTACCAAGGAATACAAGCTCTGTGTAATAGGCCATGTAGTGTAACAATAGCTTAAAAACCCATGTACGTAAATTAAATAAACAATATATAACAATTATTATTATTATTATTATTATTTTTATTATTATTATTATGCAAGATGTCCAGGTGTATATCCCTACTTTTTATATGTAGCAGTGTAAGTGCATGCGATATATTCTATTTAATTCAAGTTGCGTAGTGCTTGTTCAAAACTTAATAATGTTATTTGACCATTTTTATTTCTTCTCAAGATCAAGCAGTGTTTTTATTTATTTTTCAATATAATTGACGAAGCACTGAACACAAGCCAATGATAAACATTTCATTTTATAACGAATAATGTATATTGCCATTCATAATTACTATCATTACCTTTTATTCTCTTCAGAACAACAGAGCAGTTCATCTAAGAAATTGTTCGTTTTGATCCTCTCTGTGTGAGCTGCTTAATGCTGGTATGATTAAAGTTTATTGCAGAATTGACAGACAAGACTGTCAACGGCGGCATTTATACTTGTCACCTGTCTTAACCTTCTAGTTTTAACATCTCCATATGCAATAACACGACCACCGTGTGTCTGTCTATGCAACCTTGGTAGATCCGAGATGGTACGAATACAAATTCGAGCAAGCAT